AGAATTTTCTAGAAAATTATGCAGAAGTCCATGGATTACCAAGTCCAGGAAGAAGTATCAATAGAATAACTCAATCAGTTATCTTTTTACCAGCAGAAATGAGTTGTAAATCAGTATATAGAGATTTTCTAGCCGGTCTGGAAGAAGATAGTCATTTGAAATCCTTAAAATATGCTGGACTGAGATGTCACTGCTTATGAAGACAGTCGAGGACATAAATGTTCCCAATGTCGTAATTGTAACCAGCAAATTGCAAGGGGTAAACAAAATGATCACTTTACTTGAAAAGATGATAACATTCCCAGCTATATTTGTCCAAAAAGTGCTGAAGGGAGTGAAATAGTTTGCCATATGTGTGACAAAATGCAAGTACAAAAAAAAGGAATGCTTAAATCTCAAGTCTCTGACTCAAAGTATATAAATGCTGGTGTGGTTTTAAGACAAAACTCTAAAGGTCATGTAGCACTGTGTACCAAACGCCATGCAGAAAACTTCAAAGAAATAACTAGGGAAGAATGATCAGATATTTTGACTGTGCTTAGGGATGTTGTAAAAAAAGTTGATAAGGCTTATAATCCAGCAGGCTATAGAGTTAGTATACCAATATCACCAATTGGCACTCAAAATCCACCCCATTTTTATATGCGAGTGGTTCCTAAATACAAGAAGAATTATGGAAGTTTAGGAATCAAAAGTGTATTGGGAAAAAGTTTTGCCCCAGAAGTAGCTGAGGATGCAAAAATACTTTTTCAAGTAACAAATGACAATACTATCATTGCAGAAAAGAATAACATTGTGGCCAGATTACACATTGAAATAGGAAATATAACCATTTCTACCAAAAATCATTTACCTAACAATATCAATGCTGTGGATCAAGAAACCTGAAATCAAATTGGAGAAGTCTGTCAAGAACTTATACAAAAAATGGAATCTGCATCATTTGCTGGTGGTTTTACTATCAAATGTGAACTTAATGAAAAGGCCACACAATTATGAAGAGAAGAAGCAGAAATATCTTCAAGTTATAGCCAAACTTATCCTGCTTCTGAATTTATAATACCACTTTTTCCTAGGTTCACATTACAAAAATGATGGAGGCAATTTAGACCCCAAAGAAACAATCAATTTCTAGGCACTATGGAAGATGAATGTATTGCTGAAAAAATAAGAGATCCAGAGGCTTATTATCGAAATTGGAATAAAACTCCTAGAGTTGAATTAGAAAACCAACTTAACAAGAACAAGAGAGAGAAAATTTTTTGAATGGTTAGTTGTGGAATATTATTGTGTCTACTAGTTATTTTGGTTATTAAGATAGTGAAAATTAAGAAACATAAGAGTTAATTATGTCATCTAACAATTTTTTATTTAATATAAAAATTATTCAATTACATTTTGTGCTGGCTTGGGACAAGTGATGTCTTTAAATTCATCCTTTACAAATGGGCGAATATTATTATAAAGGTATTCTTGCCTTTGGTAATCCAAAGGAGGTGGTGTTAACACTAAAATAAATAAAGCTCTAATTTCTTCAAAAATATCTGCTTTCTTGGTTTTCAATAAATTGAATTCAGCAAAAGGTCCATTAGCAACTTCTTGAACTTTCACTGTACCAAGATTAGATGCTTCAAAAAGAAAATGTTGATATTTCTGTATACTTGGTAATTTCTTAAAATAAGTTCCAAAATTGCTTTAATATCTAAGTATTGAAAGCCTTTTCCACCTTCATAACATTGAGCTTTATTTAATCCTGCTGGGCTAGACTTTTTTATTACCTCTACCACATGATCCAGACAATCTACTCTTGTTCTTCTATAGAGTTTTTTTATTAAACCAAAGCTACCATCACATTTGAATTTGGTATGTCCTGGAATCATGAAATTTAATTCAATACTTTTATAATAACCACAAATTACTAAATACAGGTAAAACCAAATTGTTACATTATTTTTATTTTTTTTATTATAATATTTATTATTGGTTATAAATAAAAAACTCTTGTTACAGTTAACCTTATATTAAGTTATATAATATGTTCACTATAAAGAGATTTTTCATTACAGTAAACAAAATCTTAGGAACTGAGGGGTTCACTGTAATGAGCTTTGACTGTACACTCAAATGCTTTTTTTATTATATTGAACTTCTAAAAATCCTTGATGAAACTAATCCAATAAAGACTTTTCTAAAAGTAAAATTCCTTTTTCTCTTATAAATTATAACTTTAATTCCTTACATTCCATTTTATTAACATAACCACTAATGCATTTAAATTCCTGTTCTAATACACAAGCAATTTGTTTGGTTACAGTTGAAAAAACACAACTAACTGCTACAGTTATCTTATTGTTATCATTAGGGAAACATTTGTAATATTTCCTATCATATATTTGGTCTAAACCTTTATCTGCAACTTTTTTTATCATTGTATATTCCTTTGTATCAGATTTTTTGAATTCAATAAAGAAAACATGAGTTATTGTCTCAATCCACATGTCTGTCCTTCCTATGCTACCTGAATCTTCACTTCGAAATGGAACTCCAATAAAATGCACAGTCAGATGAACAAGAGATTGATAGTAACCTTCATATTTACCAGCTATAGCAGAAGCAAAATGTGGGATTGATGATAATATGACATTAAAGTCTTCCCAGAATTTCATGATTGATGAATTTTGCAAATCATTAGAAAGTTTTTTAAGTCTGTCAAATGCATCTACATCATTAGTTGCAGAAAAGGAAGACCACAGATCACTAGCAAATGATTGTCGAACTTCTTTATTGGGAGGTTCAAGTGTAATCAAAGCTTCCGTTTTGTTGTATTGAACAATAGTGAGATATCCAACTTGGAATAAAATTGAAGAATTAAAAGTACCTGAATTTTGTAGTTGTGCTATATCAGTTTTTCCAAATAAATCTAATGAAACTTGCTGTCGATCAAGGAACTTTTTAAAATTAGAATTTTTGTTAATAAATTTCAGCAACCAACTTGTTGAACCTCTCTGTACCCAATAATTCTTAAAAACCTTGTGTTTTGCTAGCATGCATATACTGTATGGATTATAGACAAATGTGTTTCCATCCCACGAATATCCATTATACCAGTCCTTTATCTTATTTGGGTCACCTGACAGTTGATTAAAAAGTGAAGCTGTATGTTCTATTTCTTCCCAAGTAAAACCAAAGGCACCACTTAACAACTCATCAATTGTAACATCTTCAAGATCATTTGCTCCAGAAAATAATGACATGTAACCAAAAGTTGATATACCAGTAACAAACTCAAACTGAATATATTCCTCCAGTGCTTTCAATGATTCAAAGAAGAGGCGAAGAATGCTTTGATTTTCTTTTGCTGCATCAAATCCTTTTTCATTATTTTCCAATACCTTTAATATTGGTGCATCATATTCATCTATCAATATAACCACTTGTTTCCATTCATTATTCTCAAGTCCTGCCAATGCTTGCACTAAACTTCTTATTGCTTTTTTTACAGAATTGCCCACTACAGTTACTCCATATGTTTCACCAATTTCCTTCAATTTGTCTGTCAATGATTCTTCCAATAGATCCTTGCCTTTGTGATACTCAATATCTCTTGAAAAGTCAAGCAGGATGACTGGAAATGCAGCCATAGTTGATGACCACAAAACATTCTGACCTTGGATTAAAAGTGAAAGATTACATTTTTGAATGTATAGATCATCAAATAAGTGATATTTATTGAGAAAAAATGCTGCAAGAGTTGATAGGAAAAGAGACTTCCCAAATTTGCGTGGGCGTGAGACAAAATATTTTGCCTTTCTTATAACAATTTTTGAGATCCATTGTGTCTTGTCAACATAAACACCATTTGAGCAATGAATATCTTCAAAGTTGGATTGATAGACTGGAAAGTAACTCCCTAGCAATAAAATGTTTTATATAAGATTAACTTAGCTAAACAAGTGTGAAAAAAAAATTGCAAATATATTAATATACTGCTGTTAGATATAGAAATCTTATATTCTTCAGCATTAGGATGAAATAATTTTTGTTGTTTGGCACTTTCTTCTATATTGTGAAAAAAAAAAATAAAAAAGATCAAAATTATAAAAAAAATACAGGATACCAAAAATAATGCATGAACTAGAATATTTATCAGCCTTCAATGTATAACCCAACATTTACATTCGAGATCTTTACCTTCAACACTTTTTATTTTTCTTTTTAACTTTTTCTCCTCCAACTCCAATTCCTTGACCTTCTTTCTCCAACTCTAAAGAGGATGATTGTTTGTGCAGAGAATAATTATATATAAAAATTATTTTATGTTGAATTAGTGTTTACAATATTGAATACTAAAATAATATTTTATTGAAATAAATACCCTCTCATCATTTTCTTTATTTTTGCTAATAAAAAAAAAGTTTATATTTAACTAGAGTGATGATGCATAGCAACAATTGCAACAACCACCAATCTTTATATACAAACTAGAGTGATGGCAAGTGGCAACCACCACCACCACCAATAAACACTTACCCAGCAATTTCTTTTTCTTTTATTATTTTTGCTTCTTTTTCTATCCACTTTTTTGTCTTTTGGCATTGTTTATATTTTTTTAAAAAGAAAAAAAGAAGTTTGTTATTTGATCGACATGTACACATTAATTAGCATAGTGGAAATTTGAAATGTTACACTGATTTTTATATTGCTTTACAATACACGGCAAACATTCTGGCAATAAAAAGTAAGTGATAAACTGGATTTAATTGGATCAGAACTTGATCTCCAATTTAGAGAGGTAACAACTATATACTGGCAAAGTTTCAGAAGCAATAAGTTCTGCATAACGTTTCGTGTAACAACAAACTTCCACTATGCTACATTAATTATTTATCCTATA